GTATCAAATATACTGATTCTTCAGGAGGAATAGAATGTTCAAGCTGTATAAGGCTTACAGAGCAGGTTTGAAACTGATCTATATTTATGTTTATCTTCTAACACTAAATATAGAAGCACCTACTCTATACTTAGTGCTAGTCACTATTTACTGGCTCTATAGCCTGTTATTATTATGCAAACATGCATAGTCACTATACTTTAAATAAGCATAGTGACCACGTGGCTCTCTGCCACGATGCAACCCTTCGTACTTCAGGTACGGTCACATCGAGTCTAATTTTGTACCCAAGGTACAGCCACACCACATTGGTGTGGCGAGCAAGCTTCTGAAGCTGTTGCCCGTACCTCTCACGCGAGCGATGTACCGGCATTGGCTTCTTCTGAAGGTCAGCGGCGAAGCCAGCCTACTAACCCTACTTTCACAGTACCTAGTGCTTGGAAGCGTCCGACGACAGCTTTCGTCGCTTCTGACTATCCTGGTCAAAAGCGTCAACGGCGTCAGGGCAATCCTGCCGGAGGGGTACCTCATACTCCCACGAGTCGTACGACTGGGGGTAGCCCCTCCACTTCACCAAGTATTGGGTATGACCTGGTGATGACGCCAAGCCAAAAGACGTTCCACGTGGAACTGTTGATGACCCAGTTCATCAATCAGCGGCGAAGAAGGTCGATGACCCATTGACCTCTCATCTCTCTGAGATCGAGCGTCGCCTAACACTCCTGGAGCGTGATGCTCGTGCATCGATGAAGTCTCACCTGTCATCGCTCGACGACCGTGTCGATTGACACCGTTGGTCGTTTGAGCGTTATCGCTCTAAGAACTCGGATCGCTTAGCGGTGATTGAGCGTTTTCAAGTCGAACTGAGATGTCAGATTGACCTCCTGGTACGCCTTCAGCGTCCATATGCACCTCCGATGCAGTACTACTCGCCTCCTTCCGCCGGGGATTAGGGGACAACCCCTCAAAGTCCACTGAGGCAGGGTTGAGGTATCGCTTAAGTAAGCCCACATAGAAGACAGAATGTGTTCGCATCTTCTTTGGAATGTTCAGCGTATAGACTAAACCTTTCTTGCCTATGACCTTGAAAGGTCCAATAAAGCATGGTCGTAATTTAGCTTTGTATACCGCAGAATCGGCACGAGTAGGTAAATTCCTAGCGTTTAATAACACCAAATCTCCCACTTTGTACTCGTGTTCGTTCTTTCTGTCTTTGGCATCCGCGTGTTCCTTCTGAACATCCTGGCTTTCAGCCATAGCGTCTTTGACGCAACGTAATACGTCAAAACGCGTTGACAGAAACGATTTCATCTTCTTGCGCATCATAACAGGGCTGATATCAGCCAAGCTTTCGGCTATCTCTCCCCACTAAGCCCTGATTTGGCAGGGAGTAGCGTTAAAGTAGCGCGAGGGTTGACCAAACCATTCACATAGAAGGGGTGAAGCCTGTCGAGGCATGCACCGCTTTCTTCAACGCAAATTCTACCAGAAACAGCATCGTGCTCCATTGCTTGAGTATCTCAGCACAAACACTGCGCGGCATATCGCCTATAACGCGGTTTACGCGTTCAGTCTGACCATCGGTCTGCGGATATCCGCCGTGGACATGTCCAGTCGAGTGCCCAGCACTTCAAAGACGGACGTCCAAACTTACCCGTAAAACGAAGTCTCTATCCGAGACGATTTCCACAGGTAAGCCGTGTTGTCTAAACACACGATCCATGAGCAGCTTAGCTGTTCCTTCTCCATCAATGGGCTCCGGTACTGCCGCTAAATGAGCCATCTTGCTCAGTCAGTCAACAAAGACCACAATCCCAGTGTTGCCTGCCGCATCACGCGGTAGGCCAAATAAAAAGTCCATACTAATGGACTGCCACAACCCCGAGGGTACAGGCAAACTCGCCAAAGGCAGCCATACTAGGCGATTGCTTCACCCATTGACACGTTTCACACGTGCGTACATATGTACCAATCCATTTATACAACTTAGGCCACCAATGATGGGTACTCGCCGAGCTGTAGGCTTTCTCACGACCTAAATGACCACCAAGTGGTGTATCATGAGCCTCATAAAGTGTAACGGGGTTACAGGAAGGTGTGTATTTTACATGCACACCTCCCACAAGTCTTTGACCTTTGTTTGGAAGGTAATTGACGTTTCGCTTTAAGCTTAGCGAAGTTAAAACTTAGACGATGTTTTAACCAAACGTCTTGCGCTTTAGCGCTTAAACGAAAGCTTGACAAACTTGAGCGCTTACACGCTCGTCCTACCCAACGGGTGAACTGGTGACCATCTTGCGCAGATGTTTTACCTGGTGCAAGCACCACTGATATGTCGTTCAGTGGGTGCACGGGCACCCCACGTGACAGCGTAACAGTCGCTCCTTATACGATTTCATCGTAAACTCCTGGGGAGTAAGGAGCCGCTTACGAAGAGCAAAACACTATCCGCATCCTCGCAAGCAGTACGGGCCTGATACCCAATGACATAGGTGCACAAAGATTGCGATGCCGCTCGTCGAGCTTCCTCATTGGGGTCCCGAGGCACAAACACATAATCACGACGTGAAAAGGTCTGTTTGGGCCGTGCCAATGCGGCCGCCTGGGCCTCGTCATCAAGTTGACGACGCTGTGCAGCGTCAAGAGGGTTGGTTACCTCTTCGGCGGCACCCTCTCGCGAGGGAACTGGTAGCGATTGGCGCAATGCGGTTGTTCCCTTGGGGGAGAAGACACAGAATAGGATCGGCGTTCCTCGCTCGGTGAGCGTGATGATCTTGGGGTACTATGACCCGAAGGAGACTCGGCACCGCTACCTCTAGAGGCAAAGTCGCTGTCATCGTCCCTAAAGATGTCGCGACGCATTACATCATCCATAATGGAGCAAGCGCTATCGAGACAAGTGCTTTATATAAGCAAGTGTTGTGAACATTGTAATGCTTAAAAGCAAGTGAAAGGCACTTAGTGATGTAAAAGCAAGTGTTAGTAAACACACAAAGGGTATTAATACTAAAGTGCTTGGCACTTAACGTTTATTAGCAAATGTCGTAACACTTAATGCTTTAGCGTGAGTGCAATGCACTGTTTACTTAAAGAGCGAGTGTCGGACCACAAGGATGCTTAGAAAGCGTCAGTGCAAATCACAGATGCTCAAGGAGCACGTGCTGAAAACACTAGCGTTTTGTTCGCAAATGCAAGCACTTATTACGAGGTAAGCAAAATGGTAAGAAAACGAAATCGATGAATACCATTAAAAGCGACACATCATGGGTACGTCGGGTCCCACGGATTGGTAAGGGAGGGTCTAATGGGGTTACACAGAGGTGTGTATTGTACATACACACCTGCCACATTAATGTGGTGTGACTATACCTTGGGTACAAAATTAGGCTCGATGCGACCGTACCTGAAGTACGAAGGGTTGCATCGTGGCAGAGAGCCACGTGGTCACTATGCTTATTTAAAGTATAGTGACTATGCATGTTTGCATAATAATAACAGGCTATAGAGCCAGTAAATAGTGACTAGCACTAAGTATAGAGTAGGTGCTTCTATATTAAGTGTTAGAAGATAAACATAAATATAGATCAGTTTCAAACCTGCTCTATAAGCATCACTGCTTGAGCTTTCTATTCCTCCTGAAGAATCAGTATATTTGATACTAGTCTCTCTGAGACTCGGTTGTTACTACCGATATGCACAAGCTTACGAGCTAGCCTAGGAAGATTCAAGCATTCTAAGACGTAAAAGCTCTCTGAGCTTGTTTGCCTCTGCACCTAGTGCATAAGTAGCTTGGCTACAATAGCTCGGCTACAATCGCAGTGATTAGTTAAGAATATCGATACACGTGCATAATGTAGCACCGACAATGACAGGGTTCGCCGTGCGGTGGTCGCATTTTAGGAAGGCGACGTCTTCCAGCTGCCGGACTGCCTCTGTCCAGTTGGCCACTGTCCCTCCTGTTCCGTCGTCGTTTGCCGCGGAAGATACGATAGCTCTGTTGGATGAGAGGCTTGTGGTCGCGACCGTGCAGAGGATCGTCCTACGTCGAGCCTAATCGGCAGCAAAGCCATCCGATTCATCAAGGTATTGTTGGACTACCATTCGTCGGATATAGGACGAGGGGGCGGCTTCATCTGAGCTGCACATGGGCATTCTAATATTGCAAGCGCCGAAGCTGCACCAACTGCCTTCAGTGGATCATAAGTCGTAGCCAAAATCTCTTAAGCAAACGGACAGTTCCACAAAAGACACTCGTCAATTTCCTTTAACCAACGTATCGAACCCCGGTGGGGACGAATGGTGGGAAGTGCAACCCGTGTAAAAGAAGTCCAGTTGGTGCGTCACGATCCGATATGCCGTTCAACTTGATAATCTGTGAGGACGTGCAGATGAGCCCATATGGACTGGTGGTACTTCCTTCTCCATGAGGTCGTGCTGTCACATACTTGCTGCCGCCGTGGTCGCAAGACGGTGACTGATAGCAGTGAAAGGTTTGCCATGTCCCGTTTGTATGGGGCAAAAGCCAGTCGGTTGAAGTAGACCACAGGTTGCCGTTCGAGTCGTCGAAAGCGCGATCCAAAGAAATCCGTGGAAACGTGGTTCTGCTTCGGAGACGACCCCGGCCACCCTCAGATTGCGAATGAACACGGTATGGACTTTCGGTCTCCACTTCAAGCGAAGGTATCTAACCGTCAAATTTCCAGTAAAATTCAGTGCCGCTTGCGTCAGGGCGGCATGGTGCTGCCGTGGGCGACCCAGGTCCTCGGGGTCTCTATTCAATATACTCCCACAACGGTAAATAGATACTGAAAAGGTTGCGCATTTGGGCAGCCAACAGTTGCATCACAGGGTGGGGTCGTGAGACTTCCTGGGTAGTTGTAGACGCCACCGGTTCTACAAGTTTTCTTGACTAGAAAAGAGTACGATCTCCTATATTATCAGTCAGTAACACCAGAAAACATCAGCGAGTTGCCACGAGATAAAGAACGACGCATGGCAACTTACAGATTCACCATCATCGCACTGGAGCGCTCAGTGGAGTTGACCTGCTCGAGAGCGTCAAGAACAGGACCCAGCCATTCATCTGACTTGGCGCTAATTTTAAGGAAGACGCCCACTACTAAAATTGCCGAGCGGTCCTCATTAAAGTGCACAAAGTGGACTTCACCGTCCAGGTGTTCGCCGTTTAGCGTGTGCTCCGAAGGAGCATGCAGGTGGAACTGTGCCATCTTATAGGCCGCTCCCTTCACCGAAACAGTGCAGTTACCTACATACAACTCGTTGCATTAGAATCGATCATGATTGAGATGATAGAGATGCATGTCAAAGTCGTGCTCGCTTACCTCTAACAACGTCCGCCTCGAGCGGTTCTTGAGGAGCTGATAGATTGTACTCGTGACAACGTCCGCTAAAGCGAAGCGGAAGACTCTTGACTTTGACGGATTTTGCAGTCGAGACGATGTTAATGGGAGACTGGCGCGCGTTACCGCAGGACTCCCAGTTATCGGCCCACTGGGAGGGGTGCACCATATTGGAATTTTGTCGGTAGCCCCATGGTCGACCTTTGGTAACATTACCAGACGCGGTCAGGGCAAAAGTCGCAATGACAGCAGTGATCGAAGCAACAAGCTTCATTTTGTCGCAACGTGTTCAAGGTCGAAGTCGAAAGAGGAGAAGCAAAGTAATGCGTTGAGAGCAATTTGAGGAATGAACAATTGGTACAAGCGCTCGATGCAATAAGGGTGAGATGGAGACGACGAACTGATCGGATGTGATGGTAGTATAGCATGTGAATATAGCATTAGTTTATCTACGACATAGTCGTACGAATATGCCAGAATGCAGCCATGTGTCGGACCATGATGGCAAACAAATTGCAAGGTTGTGAAAGATTCAAGGTATTCGTTCCACCTATGAGAATGGACGGAGCAGTTCGAGCCCTACACAGCTTCGCTTTATGAGCGAAAAACAATAAATCGCTTGTTAGACTTACAGATGGAGCGCCATTTCTACGTCTTCGCTCCGTGTCCCTAAGCAGGTCAACAGAGCACACAAGAACACCAGCAGTTTTGTGCTTAATGCTTCAATGTTCAGAATGAAATGAAACTAATACTCGTCATTCGACAATTTCTCAGCATTCAAGGCACCGGACGAGGTAAGCGTGAAAGCTTCTTCACAAAATCAACTTCATAAGCGCATCGAAGCTACGAGCACATTATCAGGCTTTGCAGCTCGTTATACATATAAAGACAACCTTTTTGGTAGTAGTGGTGGTATCTGCTCGATACGGTTGTTATCGCTATACGGTTGAACAGAAGCTTTATTTCAAATAAACAACGACCTTCTGGTTACAATTCTTGCTACAAAACACAATTAGCTCGTTTGATTGTATTTTACCGAGACACACATATATGGCACATCGTTTTGACATTGTGCGTGTAGCTAAACAAAAAGAAATGTACCGGATCATCTCTCGAAAAAGCTCATCAAGGAGTCGTACATGGTGTTATATTTAGTCAGCAGTTACCGCAGACGTCCATTTTGAAAAAGAGAACGAGGGCTCCATGCATAGCTGATAAAACACCGGATATGCAAATCACTCCATCAACCCGTCGTATTCTGGGAACGAAGAAAATTTAACAGGTGAATCACATAAAAAGGTATACAGTGGCAGATAACATAGCAAAATTTGACGCATCGATAATCAACCGAAGAAACACCGCATAAAACATGTGACTATCATTCAATTTGTTTGCCATCATGGTCCGACACATGGCTGCATTCTGGCATATTCGTACGACTATGTCGTAGATAAACTAATGCTATATTCACATGCTATACTACCATCACATCCGATCAGTTCGTCGTCTCCATCTCACCCTTATTGCATCGAGCGCTTGTACCAATTGCTCATTCCTCAAATTGCTCTCAACGCATTACTTTGCTTCTCCTCTTTCGACTTCGACCTTGAACACGTTGCGACAAAATGAAGCTTGTTGCTTCGATCACTGCTGTCATTGCGACTTTTGCCCTGACCGCGTCTGGTAATGTTACCAAAGGTCGACCATGGGGCTACCGACAAAATTCCAATATGGTGCACCCCTCCCAGTGGGCCGATAACTGGGAGTCCTGCGGTAACGCGCGCCAGTCTCCCATTAACATCGTCTCGACTGCAAAATCCGTCAAAGTCAAGAGTCTTCCGCTTCGCTTTAGCGGACGTTGTCACGAGTACAATCTATCAGCTCCTCAAGAACCGCTCGAGGCGGACGTTGTTAGAGGTAAGCGAGCACGACTTTGACATGCATCTCTATCATCTCAATCATGATCGATTCTAATGCAACGAGTTGTATGTAGGTAACTGCACTGTTTCGGTGAAGGGAGCGGCCTATAAGATGGCACAGTTCCACCTGCATGCTCCTTCGGAGCACACGCTAAACGGCGAACACCTGGACGGTGAAGTCCACTTTGTGCACTTTAATGAGGACCGCTCGGCAATTTTAGTAGTGGGCGTCTTCCTTAAAATTAGCGCCAAGTCAGATGAATGGCTGGGTCCTGTTCTTGACGCTCTCGAGCAGGTCAACTCCACTGAGCGCTCCAGTGCGATGATGGTGAATCTGTAAGTTGCCATGCGTCGTTCTTTATCTCGTGGCAACTCGCTGATGTTTTCTGGTGTTACTGACTGATATATAGGAGATCGTACTCTTTTCTAGTCAAGAAAACTTGTAGAACCGGTGGCGTCTACAACTACCCAGGAAGTCTCACGACCCCACCCTGTGCTGCAACGGTTGACTGGTGGGTAGTCAGACAGCCGCTTCAGATCTCTGCCGTCGACTTTGGCCGTCTACACCAGGACTTGGTCGAGTACGACATTACGGACAACGGCAACAACGCTCGCCCGACGCAGCCTTTGAATGGTCGTGTCGTTATTCATTACCACTAAGAATATGTGTCGTTTGTTCCAGACTGTAAGAGAAGCATACATATTCCATTGAATATCCTTTGGTATCACCACTTGTTTTCACCAAATGCGTCACGTAACGTGTGTCATAAAAGTACGTGCTTGGTAATGTTCTTGGCGGATATTTCCCTACCAGGGTAGCAAAGTTTGCTGCAAGCCTATCTCAGCGTGGTTGTCAGGTTAATGAATGGCCACATAAATGATTATTTGTGATATATCTAGAACACCAAACAGTGTCCCAGCTATTTGACCTCAGACATATGTCGAAATAAACCTGGCGCCATTGAAGCTGTACGCATGCACATTTGTGCAATGAAAAACATACATGGCATCGGACCTTTTCAACATCGCGCTGAAACCATTTGTTGTTGGCGATACAATTACTGTTTCGGCCACGGAAGCACATTACCGAGTGATCATAGAACTCATCTTTTTCTCTAGCGTTTTCATCGTTGAACCAAGTATCAAGTCCAAGAGCTAATAAGTATCGAACCGGTGTTGTATGCAACGCTGGTAGTCACCGTGCGCTTTAAGTGTGAGTGAAGGGAAGTGCTAAACCATAGTCGCCATGCACAGGACAGCTCTAGAACTCGTGAAGACCAAAGTTATTGACTCACTATGATACTGCACCGAAACTTGGTAGGACACACCAAGTCTGCTTTGATTTAGGAGCAAAAGGTGTGAAGACGATGTTGCGCAAATCTACGCTTGCGCGATGGCACTTTTTATCTGCAACATGATGTCGCCATCTTCTAAATTAGACCAAACAAATCTATACGCATGGTCAGAACATTGTAAGTGTACAACATTGCTGTGGTGCTGCGAGCTATCCGACACAAATTGCCTTCTGCTTGCAAGCATAAACAATATGTTTTGCAGCCTTGACGTTAGTAGCCGGATATAGTCAAGTATCGATATTTCCATCTCTCTTCTCTTGCTAAACTCATAGCGGCAGGCCTTGGATTTGTTTTAAAGCAATATGTGGCGGTGTTTGTCGTTTTTCAGGATGTGAATCGCTAGATGCTGCACACGCCTTTTGTTGCCAATGATGCTTACTATCACACACACAAGAGTGTAGTGTCTTTGCTCTTAACATAACCTCAACAACATTATACTTAACTCAAGGTGATATTTAGATATAGTTAGCATCATGCTGTTGTTGACATTCTGTAATTCAAGGCCCCACGTTCAAACAATCAAAGACTATCAATATAGCATTCATCAACATTGCATCCCGAGATTGCTTACTCACTAAAGATCACAAGAACCATTTGCACTGCTTGTGACGACTAAGCCACATAACAGCGTAAGCACAATAAAAAGCTTTGTCATCCATTTCACACGCTCTTGCATATCTATTGGTACCAACGTTGCGTCCGTCAATGCTTTATCAGTCACCTCAAAAAAGAGTGTTGTCATGAAAATCATTAAGATCTAGCTCGTACGTAAAAAAAACTACAACATAGCAGGCTTCTCGTCGGCTGCCTTGCCGTGAGGCACGAGCCCGATGGAATGAGTCACTTTATACTTTCTTATGCTGAATGCATTTAACATGAAGGTTTAAGAACAGGACGTCGCAGACTGAATCCCGACAACCTTTCCTTACCTCAAAACATGTTTTGCGAGGGCTTATACGATCCAGACCAGTCTATCCAAAACGATACATGAAGTTTTATTGCCCTCAGCTTACAACTATCTGTCCTTTTCAGTATGATGCAGAGCCACATTTCAGCTTCAGTCACACGCAGAATAAGTTTTACTAGCAAAGCAAAGTTTGGATGAATAGAGACGCACTTGTATGAGGAGATGCTACGTGTCCGCTTACGAGAGCGAAGGCGCATCAGCCTCGACTTCCACGATGGCCTCTATCTCCACCGCTACATTGAGCGGCAGCGCGTTGGTGCCAACAGCGGAACGAGCGTGCTTCCCCTTGTCACCGAAGATGGCGGCGACAGTGTCTGACGCGCCGTTGATCACACCCGGTTGGGCTGTAAACGTGTCGACGCAGTTAACGAAGCCCGTGAGCTTCACCACGCGTTTTATATGGTCTAGCTCGCCTAGTTCATCTGTAGTAAGTAACAAGCACGTCGGTCACTCACGGTCTCACATCCAAATCCCGAACATCAATAGATCTCGTACTCTTGAGAGTAGACAACAGAGCGAGCGCGACAAGTTGCGCTGCAGCATATCCCTCTTTGGTGGTCAGATCCTTGCCCAGTTTACCAGTGATAAGCTCACCTGTTGCTGTCACGGGCAGATGTCCAGCTACAGACAGACATCAATCGTTTTGTCAGAATAAGATTGCGCTATGAGGAATGTTATGATGGTGTTAGTATATGCACCAGTGTAAATGTAATTGCCCGTGCGCACGACGTTGACGTAGTTGCCCTTTGGCACACCCGCTGTGAGCAATTCATAGCCCAATTCGGCCGCACGGTCCTCAATCTTCCCCATGACACGGATTAAAGTTTTTAGATGTGTCAAATCAATCATGTGGCTCTACGTGGTCTCTGTATGCGCAAACGAATCGTTATTGAAATTAAGCGTAATATCAATAAACACTAGCAGAAATCCAAACGTCCAAGCTCTTAATCCTCCAAAGCACAGTTGCTGTCAATTGCTCATGTCTTACGTTATTGAGGAGATTCCTAGGTGTCTAAGCGATCGCTCGATCCATTGTCAGCAAGGCTGTCGTACTCGTAGTCTTGCTTGACCGATGTCAACGTGTAACAAGACTCCAAGTTCGTGCATATTACGATTCCAGCATCCACAACATTGACGTATGACAAGAATATACGTCCAGCAGTACAAAGCCTTGCCACACGCTTGAGTATAGTAAATGCGCAATTCTTATCTTCATGGTTCCGCAACGAAGAAATGCTACGACATTAGGCCTAATCTATGCGTGATCTTGACATCGGTATCACCGCCAATGCTATGATTCGTATCGTACTGCACATGACAGATCAATGGTGCTGTGACCGATCAATGCTTGCACAAATCTAGCTTCAGATTGTGCGTATCGCTGCTGCATGATGTACTTACTGAGACGTTTCTCGCATATGTCTCACGCTACAGCAGTCTATTGTCAACGTGTACTGTACAAGAAGATTTCTCACTTGATGTCAATCGTGACATCAAGGCGACAAGTGAACTGTTAGTAACGAAGCACTCAATTGAAATGCTTTCTAAAATTTGGGAGCTGAAACATCCATCAAGCAAATTTTGCAATACTCAATAGCTTCTGTTTCTAGCGGTGAATGCACCTTGCTTGCGAATAAGTTCTTGTCATTAGCATGATGTAGATTATTGCATGGCTGAATGTCTTAAGGTCCTACGTTTTGATAAGTTATGGACTTCTTATTTAAACTTGACTGTCACATACCATACCACGGACGGCGTCAAGAGACTTTACAAGCACCAAAATTATGTTCTCTGTGAAGCTGACACGTCCAAAAGCTTTTATGGCGTGCGGTATCGATAAATATGCCGCGCCCAACTTCGTGCCTCCTTTGTTATCGCGGCCATTAAGCTTCCATAGTTGTAAGCTTTCGGCGTCAAGTGCAACCTTAACTCAAATCATATAGTGGCAATGCTGTTCTTCTTGCACGGTCCAGTCATCTCCAGCACGAGACCTTTCGCCATTGAAGCTTAAGCTCCAAGACGCAATACTACATCCACCACATCAGACAGTCAATCATGACATTCAGCGGTATATCCGCGGCATTTTTCACTGCCCAGCCAAAATAGTTTAGGCCAGTCATACATTATAGCGTTACATTTTTTCGTCAGGCTGTCTCGTTAGCTTCATCTCTTCGTGAAACTACATGGTTACCACCGACTCGTAATCTTACCAATACGGCCACTTGTTTCGACGCATCTGCTCAATGTTGCCAAGGCATGTTCGCGTTACAGATTCGAATATCTAATCCAGGGCAATTTGCCACGACGCAACGAACTGCTTGCTTCGTTCTACGACTGCCAATTCGTGCATCTTTCAATGCTAAGTTGCATTCGTAGCCACGTCCCGTTAAATTTCCGCTCGATACATTCATCAGAACTACATGACCTTCAAATGTAAAGCATGCGCTTTACCTCAATGTCCCTCTACGTCTTCAGTAGACAAGGCCTGTGAATAGAGTGTGGAAATGAAATTTTGTTTGTGAGAGACTAGCGGTATCAGGCTCCACTTTTCCTGTTTAAGCGCGTTGTTTCAGTCTACGACGCTATCGAACATATCGTCTTTGCCATTTCAGTAGCTTTCCGTCCTGCCATACGTCCAGCAGTATCTTCGGCAGCACGATCATGTTATTCATCGTGAATTGACTTGTTTCTACTGATATGTGTAAGCTCATTCACACATTTTTCTTGTGCTTCATAATTTGATGTCGAAGCCTTTGCATTCTCATTTTTGAGGGTAGCACCCATGTTTACATTACTTATTCTAAATAGCATGTCAGCTGCTACAAGTAAATATGGGGTTGGTTTTGCTGGAGTATACGCAACAATGAAAATATTGCAGATGGCACAAACCAATCTAATAGAAATGCCCATACAAAATCTTGGTGCAAAGAGCAAAAAAGAAGAAGTGTTAAAAACGATTATAAAAAGTATTACATTACAAACTTATGTTACTACAGATGTAGTAGTCGTTTAGTAAAGAGAGTAAAATTTAGTAACACACAAGAAAATAGTACCCGGTGTACCAGTGACGAAACAATAAACTTAGACTGTCAGTATATTCAATAGATTGTACTAGTATGTCCAACCCTTCCGCCCCTTCTGAATCAGCGTCACTACTACTGTACTTATGAATCCTTCATCCTACGCCAACTCAGTGAAACTTCAGCGCTCCCAATTTCGGTTACTTAGAGAGACAACAGATTGTCCATTTACTGGTTAGTGCAAGATCTCTGGTAGGTTGTTAACCACACTAGCTACGCTGGAGGGTCCAGACATTGCGGCTATGAAGGCCGGGCTGCTAATTCTCGGTTCTGATATAAATAGGTCGAAACATGCAGAAAGTTGGGCACCTCGCTCGGCCGTGTCAGCCTTGCAATGGAGGCGTTTAATGAGCGCCCGCAGTTAGAGCTGAATCCTGCCCCAAATCAAGGCTTCACTGGCTTGCATTGGGATATCCGCATTGCGAAAAACGCAGTCCACGCGGTATTGCCAGAGCATTGTGATGACGACGGTCCCTGCGACCTCCCATATCGTCTTCCAGGCCGTGGCGAATTGATCGATGTCGTCGGTGTAGCGGGCTACCAGCATTGCTGTGACCCGCGGTGAAAGGCGGGGTACGCTACGGTTTGCGCAGTGCTCGAGCCATTCCAGTAGGTGGTAAGGCTTACAAGGTGTGCTTTCCCAATGACTGATAAGCCGGGCCCAAAGTGCTGAGCACGGGGACATCCCAGAAGAGTTGCTCCTGGATCTTCTTCGGTCTGACACATTCTCGATACGTGCAAGTCCCGTCCGGATCTGTAGATCCCCTTATGATAGGATCGGGGAGGTCCTTATACCAAAAGTTTAGCTGACCGGTAGCGTGGCGGTACCATGTCCAGAGCTGATATTCCGTCACCGCGTATCCGTGCCCCCATGATGACTCGGCGATACATCGAGAGCTGCTCGTTGCCATCGCGGTTGCTGGCTCTTGGATCCTAGTCGATCAATGACCTGCTTCAGCGGTGTTGCAAGACACCGCTTAGACGACTTAAAAGCTTGCCGTTTCAGGAACGAGAAGACGCGGCGATTGGGAACTATTGGCGGAGCAGACCATGGATAGTGGTGGACCTGTGGATCGGAAACAAAGACGAACCCAGTCCGGATGAGCTTGCGCTCCGCGAGTTGAATGAATTCCTGCGTTTTTCCCTGAACCGGCGGCGGTTCTCCGTCGAACATCCACGTGAGACCATTGTGGCATTGAGTGAGCTCCCAACTCTGAAGGTGATTACTGTTGGCAGAGAGCGAAGTGCCTCGAACCCTGTCCGGCCCGACCTGCACCCATGCGGTGACTTGTGTGAAAGGGGGCTGACGCCGCAGCCGGAGCGGGGCCAGGCACCCCACCGGATTTCTGACGCCAAGGGACGGCGACGAAAGCAAGACGATGATCGCCCATTCTTGAAGTTTTGCATGGGAATGGCGGGGGGCGAGGAGGTCCGTGCATATGCCGCCAAAAACGTATCCCTGGGGTCCTGTCCGCTGGATATGGAGTTGTTCAAAGGAGACATCGCAAATTCTGTCATGCTTGGACTGGGACAGCGCCGACGCCTGTGGCGTCAGAATCCAAGGGTTTCCACTTCACCGGAAAGTCTGCCAGAAGTCTGTGATCTTCTGGGGCCAAAACTCGACTGGCTGAGGCCGACCGGGAAGGGGTACAGAGAGATGCAGCACCCAGTCTTTTTCTTCCCACCAGCTGGTCGATGATGACCGAAGGGTCGGTAGATGGTCCTGTACTCGTGCAAGGATGTCCTCCGTTTGCGCGGGTGTTGACGTAACGTGCATCCAAGCTCATGAAGTACATCAGGATACCGCGCGGAAGACGGTGATACAACGTGTTTACGCTCAGTCGATGCGGACTGATGGCCGTGATTTGTGCACCATGCGTAATCGAGGACACCCACGCTGAGGAGTAAACATCCTCCGACCGAGTAAGTGCCAGTAGCGCGTGTTTCACCCGCTGAGTTTTGATGGCGACGGGGACCGAAACGAGGCCAATGCCGCCTGCCAGTTTTCGGTTACTTGCTTCGTTTTGGCCACGAGTCTTGTGGTGTGCAATATGTCGTCGTTCATGTCCTTTTTGCAAGGCCAAAACAAATGAGACAACAGAGGTCCATATTGGATTACTTGTGGATTAACAGATTAAAAACAAATGACCGGATCATTGACAAGTAACGGTTTGTCATACTCTGTTGCTACTTAGCATAGAAGTCGACGCTAAGAAGACTACTACAGCTTGTGGTACTATTTGGCTTTGAAGAGGATGCACAGGAAATCGAGCAGATAAATAATGCTGAGTCTTTGACGAGCGCTATTTTAAATCCAGAGCTGCACAGATTGTGTCGACTACTGTACTAGGTTTTGTAGCAAACAATCTACTGGCCGGCGACTTTTTTTTTTTTTGTCAATAGTTTGATTATCAATCAAAGGTGCCAGATGAACGTCCTTCCGAGTCAAGACCTACAGCTTCCAATTGCGTGGCTGCTGGCGTTATCTTGATTTTGAGACAGCACCGTGATATTTTTGAAATGCGTCTGCAAAAGTTTTTACATGTAGGACAAATATTTCGGAATGAGATCGTTTGTATTTTTGTTGTAGCGATACACAAGACCAAAATAACTGCGTTTCCTCCATTCCCACTACGCATATTTATGTTGACCTTGCTACTGAGGACATTGACCTCAATGCTAAGAGCGTATTACATGCTGCCACTGCATACGGTCTCCTTTAGTGTTGCC